CACCCCATCCACCTATCTCCACCCCATCCACCTATCCCCACCCCATCCACCTATCCCCACCCCAACCTGGACCCACCTATGCCCACCCCATCCACCTATCCCCACCCAATCCACCTATCCCCACCCCATCCACCTATCCCCACCCAACCACCTATCCCCACCCCATCCACCTATTCCCACCCCATCCACCTATCTGTAGGAAAGCTGCTTGCTACCCGTGATCGTATTAGTGGTTACGCGTGAGTGTATATATGTAACACCCTTTGCTAACGTCTATCAGAATCATATTATAAAGAACACAACAACACAGTTACACTGGTATACGGATTCAGTGACTATCTATATATACATGTACTATGTATAACTCCATAACAAGGTATGCGCGTACAACATTGTACAATAGGTTTACGCGAGACACGTCATAACTTACTAGGCTAATGCTGGATCGTCCGTTAGTAAGCAAATGTGCAATCTCCGTATCTTACTCTGTCTATCTCTGTCTGTATCTCTGACTGTTCGTCGCTCTCTCTCCAAACCGGAGATTATATACCCAAACTGGGGACCCGCCTATTGTTTCTCGGCAACCTGTTACAAGCTACTGCTTGTAATTGGTTGCTTCTGGCTACTCGCTAGCCCAGGGTCACGCCTTACACAGCTTGGCCTGTACCCCAAACTAGAACAATAGCTTAACAGTGCGTATTTAATATTATGTATTTCTGCGGTATTACACATCCCCACCCCATCCACCTATCCCCATCCATCCACCTATCCCACCCCAACCACCTATCCCCATCCATCCCCCTATCCCCATCCAACCACCTATCTCCACCCCAACCACCTATCCCCACCCAACCACCTATCCCCACCCAACCACCTATCCCCATCCATCCACCTATCTCCACCCAACCACCTATCCCCATCCATCCACCTATCCCCACCCCATCCATCTATCCCCACACCATCCACCTATCCCCATCCATCCACCTATCCTCACCCCATCCACCTATCCCCACCTAACCACCTATCCCCACCCCTTCCACCAACTCACTCGGCCACCTATCCCCACCCCATCCACCTATCCCTACTCCATCCACCTACTCACTCAGCCAAGCCTCGTTGACGATTCCTGCACGCGACTCACCCGCTGGAACTGTGGTCCCATGTGGAAGCTGAGTGCCTGCTGCTTCAGCTGGATGCAGGGAACACACCGCAGCGGAGCATCTTCCACAGTCTCCTGGAAGCTCTCCAGCGTCTCGCTCAGGTTGCCCGCTAGATGGCGCAAACGCCGGGTCTCCTCCGACAGCGTTATGAGATCTGCCTGCGCCAGTGCCACCTCTGAAACAAGTGTACGCCCGATTAGGTCATAATCATACTAATAGCAGTGCGCGAAATTAGCGCTATTTTGCCGGCGGCCGCAGGTTCAACCCCCTAAACCGCCGGTCCAACTCCCTAAACCGCCGGTTCAACCCCCCATATAATCAGTCCACTTGGCCTATTCAAAATCTTGCCTATCTTGATTTATAATTATATCAACAATATTTACCAATTTCCTGACTAGTTTTTCTTAGTGACTACTAAGAAGTAAATCATGTTCCAGCAATTCCTATCAAACAAGTAGAACAGAACTCCACTGATAGCATAGCAATGAAATACTGAAAATACTGTGAGTATGCCTAATAAATAAAAATCTAATACTTTTATTAATAATTGAACAAAATTAAGGGCCTGTTCAAACTTATAAGAACCTGTTCAATTTGTCTAAGGGCCTGTTTAAAATTTTGGGTGGGCCTGTTCACATTTTGGCTAATTTCATGCCCTGTAATAGTATTAGTAAAGCACATTTAGTGTTCTCCCCAGAAATCTCAGAAGGCTTGTCGGGCAATAGGACAATTCATCACCAATTGCTAATTGGAGTCAATCACACATGTTGTAAGTGGCCCCAATACACAGGTAAACTCGATCAGTATAGCAACATATATACATTAAGCTGTGAAAACACAGCATGACTGTATTCAGACATTCAAATTTAAACAGAGCTAGAAATTATGGCATCTCGATTAGGCAGTTAATGCATGTTGGGGGATTTATGGCATGTCACAAATTAACTTCAGCCTTGAGGGCATGTTCGATCCAACATTATTAAAGGCCTGTCTAGAAAGAACCACGAATATATAGTTAATTGTGTACATTTTATACACAATGGTACATGCATGTGCACATACATATATGTATATTATAATACACATCATACATGCATCACAACACAGATTATTTCACTGAAACAAGAAAATGCTCTTCTGAACAAAGAAGAAGATTGTAATAACATATAATAACACACTAATATATAATTAAATACATAATTAATAATAATTAGTAGATAACTGATTAAGATGTGGCACAAGAAAGGACATCAGCACTAGAGTTACAACATCCCTATTGGCCCCGTATCTCCATTGGGCACAAAAACTCTCACTTTATACATAAATGAAGTCAATGACATGATAGCTCACCTTGGGTGTGATAGAAGAGGGAGATGATATTTAAAATTTGGTAAGTGTTTCATTTATGACGAACCGATATGTGATCAAATGTCCTTATTCCCTGTTTTATACTAATAGAAATGTTACTGTTTTGTTTCAGGGTTAGTTTTGATGCGAAAATAAATGTTTCAGATGTGAAAGTCTGAAATCTGGACGAGAGATGACGCTACGCCTAAATGATCGCCATTTTGGTTTTCAATTATCGCGCAAATAAAAGTAAAATATTCTAGTCAAATTACTGTAACGAAGAATCTAAAACACAATATTACACGTAGGTAAGTAGGTAGGTAAATTTAACAAAATCGAATGAATCTAGATGGCCATTTTCATTTTTGCCAAAAAGTGGGCGTGGCTCGAAAGTAGGTCGACTGGCGTGCTCCAAAATAGGACGTTCAAATCTCTCTCATAGAAGTAGCAACTGTATGCAATTTGAAACATGTGGGTCCAACGGTTCTCAAGTTATCGTTGACCGTAGCCAAATATTGACGGACGTACGTACGACGGACGACACCCCATGGCAATAGCTCATCTTGACGATGTCAAGGTAAGCTAAAAACGAAAGTGTATCCGTGTTTGTCACATCGTAGAGTAGGAACGTAATTTCGCATTTGGTCAGTTATCTTTGTAATCTATAAATTGTTATGTGGGCTGTACCTAACAGCAAGTAGAATAGGTAATTATGGCATGTGATGTTAATAGCTATCAAGGTCAGTGGAGAGTAGCGAAGAGCTAGAGAGAAAGTAGAATTTGGTCAGCCAACTGTGGCACCCAACCTGCATGGGGAATGGATGGGTGTCCATATGCAACAGTACTGAAAACATACACTTAGCATTCGACACACGGCATTTAAAGCTTTGTACTTAACATTCAATAGCGAATATTGATGAAGTAAGTAAAACTTGGTATTTAGAACATGACATTCAAAAGCTGTTCATTATTCCAATGCTATCTAACTTGTCAGAGTGCTAAACTGGAGCACACACAGGCACGTGGCAAAAGTGGGACACTCTCCACACGTGAACTGTACTGTGCCTGCAGGCAATATCTACTCTCTGCTTGTAACACACACACATGTATTGTATACTAACGTGTCTGTATCTCTGCCAAACTTGCCCAAGCTGCATCCAGACCTGTCAGTGCAGTCATCTCCACCAACAGCAAATCTGTCGCATCTGTAACAAACGCAGGAAACAGGTTCTACGGTCATTCAAAATAAACGGAGCGCTGCAAAAGGGCATCATTACTAAACACGGTCAGTTTACACTTGAACAAACAATCAAACACAAACTGGCAAAACATACTCCACAACTTTTGACGCAAGGCAATTTAAAACGTTCCAATCTTTTTAACTTAATACCAATAAACTTATATAATTTAAAGAATATCATGTGCTCAATACCACAACATAGAAACATAATGATATTAATCATGTATTACTATTGTTGTTGTAATAACAATAACAACAATAATATTATTATTCATAATATTATTAATATCATTATTATTATTAGTAGTAGTATTATCATCATCATCATCATCACCACCACACGTGCTCTGCGACATGCTCACCATCTAGATCGTTATGGACAGGGCCACGCACGTACAGCTCGTAGTCGCTCGTGAAGAGTGGCTTTACCTCGTCGTCGGTGCGTGTCAGGTACATGTCAACGTCCTGCAGGCTCGTGCGCAGCTTGCTCGAGATCGCCAGCACCGCTTTATCAACGTACTCATTCGTCACAAACGTGCAGATCACGCCAAACCTACAGCAGTCGCGCACGTGAGATCAAGCACTACTGATGTCCTGCTGATCGATTATAATCGAAAGTCAGTCGTTTGCAGCAACCGACTAAAGCGCTCAATTATCAAAATAAAATTTGATTGAATTTTTTTTAATTTAAAAATAAAATTTGCAAACATTGATGAAATGACTCTTTATTTTATTTTTGTGTTTTTTTGGTTACTCTACAGCTTCGAGACAGTAAATCTAACCTACACCAAACATAAGCAAGCATAATACTGTTACATGGCTTTTAGAATATTGTATTATAAAAAAATTTATTATATGATATATATGATATATTTCAATATCTGATAGCCGCAATCAATAACATTCAACCGATTATCTTAGCTAATCGATTGGTTGGGTGCAACTGATGATCGATGATGATATTCCAACCGATTCGCATTACTAGCAAGCACGGAGGTTCAGCGCGACGTCACGCATGCTCCACGGCTGCATTGCCAAGGTCACCGCGCGACACACCACTCATGCACGAGCCGGCTCGCTGCTTTCAAGGTATTTTTTGCCAACGTTTGCAGATTTTGTTGCGACCGTGGGCAGGTGCGGAGGGGGGGGGGCGTCCCTAATTTAGCAATCAATTCATTCACTAAACACACAAGTGTGTACTGTTTGTTGACTTGTTGTTAAATCCAAGCAAGCAAAAAACGTATTTTCAAAATCAATTTGCATTTAAGTGAACAAAGGTTATAATGCTCAGTTGCACAATACCACCGCTAAGCACATGAAATAAAACCCCTTTAAATGAAGGTCTAGTAGGATTAGTACATCCAAGTTCAAACTACAGCTTATTACTCAATGATCATTTTCAAGATGTCTTTTATAAAGTATGTGGTAGCAGCAGTTTGCGTGATCGAGACAGTCTGAGATTACTAACAAACATCCGATAAGTAATCACAAAGTATGTCTGGATCTTGATCTAGAGGAGATCGGGGATGGGAGACGGGAGGGGAGAAAAGGTGGGTAGTGTAGAAAGGGAACAGAATGGAGAGGGTGTGGGAGAGGAGAGATTGGAGTGAGATGGAATGAGGTAGTGGGGAAGGAGAGGAGAGAGGGGACAATGGGAGTTATGACATTTGAGAGGAATAGATGAGTGATGTGGGAGATGATGGGAGATTCTCAGTGATGGGGTCTTGAGTAAGTATCTAAACGTAGAATACTCACAGCATCAGCATCGTGACCAGAAAGAGAAACACAGCCATCGTGACGCGCTTGCACTTGGCGAACCGATCGTCCATCTTGCTCTGCTGCGCGCCGCATCCGCCGCAGCAGCGGCAGAGCAAGAACACAAGAGCAGTAAAGAACATGGCGACCACGTAGATACAGCCGACGACGAAACACACGATGAATCCGGTTTCGTAGTTGCGCACCTGTGAGAAAACACACAGTAGTTGCTGTAATACCCTACTACTACTAGTGTATTAGCTTTACTTCTATGCATGCAATGAACAGCATTTGCACACTGAGAGCAAATCGTATCTCCACGAGTTTTAGTCTTCCCATTTTCCAAGATTTAGAAGGTTTTTAATTTACATGACTGTAACTGTAAGCTGAACATAATCTTTGCAACTCATAACCTTCAATCAATAATTAATGCAAAAATGTTTCCACAAAGCAAGTTTTTATTGCTTCTCAGACATAGCAGACCTACCCACAATAACCCTTTCCAGAACAAAACATGATAATTTCGAATTTTATAGAACTTTCCGGCAGCACAGCCTAACTTACAAACATTATAGATCTGGTAAACAGCAATTTAAAATTCCAGGACAGCAAGTTTTACAAGACCCATATCGGCCCTAAGGCCATAATAAAAATAATGTTTGTTTGCCCTCACCCGACTGACCCGCTAAAAAGGGCCGACTCAACATTTTTTATTGATCTTTCTTTCCCATTCTTTAAAAAAAATTTTTTTACAAATTGTATCACTGTACATTATATAAATCTGTAGACATTATATGGATCAAGCAAAACAAACATTCAACATAAAAGGTATCTCCACACAAGCACACCCAAGCACGTAGACACCATGCTGAATTTGTAAAAAGACCCCCTCAAAAACAAAGAACAAGAGCCGCAGAGCGTCTGGGCTCATCTGAGGTCTGTTGCTACGGTTATAAACGTAACATTTAAGTTGTGCGTAGTGACACCTTTGTTAGGCGCAGATATGCAGATACGCAGTTGCGTACACATCATTTCAGCAACCTTCTGCATTTTGCATAACTCCCAAATCCCATTGGTTGATACAAATCGCGTGCCTGAAACTAATGTTTTATGGTGCATTGTGACCCTAACCCTATTAAAACAAAAACAAAACAAGGTAGGCCAGTGATTAGTGGACCGAATAAGCTCAAGAACGTACAAAGCTTTGTTTGTTCCTTAGAATTGCAATATATCCTACCGAGCATCAGAAATGCGTTCTGCTAAGATTCTTTCCGAGCATTAGAAACTGGTTGTTCCGAAATATTTTCCGATTATCAAGTATTAGAAGCTTTGTTTGCACAATAGGTGTTGATATTTCAACTTTTGTAATAAACAAATTTTGTGGGAAGGCATGCCTTACATATATAAAGTTTTACTTGGAACTATGCTATGTTGTGTTTCCGCGATATCACGACCGAACGCATTTCCAATACTCGGAGCAATATCCACCTTGTATGCGATAACTTCACACCTGTCCTAGATGCACAGTTAATTTAAAATGGATTTCAGTCATCATATGATTTCTTGTAGCCAACAATGTAGATCATATCCCTTAAAATCACAGAGACGGCATGATGGCGAAAAACTCGAGCTGCATTTTGTGCATAAGTGCGAAGTTATTGGGTATATAGTAAAACAATTTTTACCCCGCTATTTTACTCTAACATTGACACCCTGCAACTTCTGCAGAAAATAAAGGTTGTCAAAGGTCAACAAATGGCATATAGTTTATCAGATAGGTAGTCTGCAGAATGCAGCACACTGTCGGTAGATTATATTGCTAGCTCATTGTTACACGGCCGGTGTTGGCAAGATTGGTTGATTACTAACAGATTCTGCAGCATAATTTTGTCACGCGTGTAGCCAATTCAAGATTCAATATGGTTAATTATTTGTTCGTGGGACATGTTGTAAATTTATTGTACATTATCAGATGTTATGAAGTAAAAATCCTCCATTTTCAGACGTCAATCATCGCGGTGGAGTTCGATGGAGGGGTGGTGTTAGGTGCCGACTCACGCACAACCACAGGGTATGTGATCATGCACGCAATACAGTTTACGTGGTCTTAAGCTAGCTAATTTAAATACACATTCTTGCTTGTGAGAGGGATTCATCATTGCAGCTCATTGCTGTCTACGTATCAAGGCAAGTTCCCTGCCCTATCATTCACTGCCCTGACAACATGGGATTACTGAATCCATAAAGGTTACTGTGGCATGCCTACAATTGTAGAAATCCATAGCTAAGTCGACACCTCTGATTTCGGGGTTCACTTCAAAATCCAAACTGTAAAACGGTACTAATGTCAATTTAACCTTACTTCAGGAGCCTGGGTTTAAAGGGTTAGTCTCTGCATAGCGTAGTATTAGTAAGGTTTGGAGTAGGGTTAGGTTATGGCAAGCGATAAGGTTAGGGGCACGGACGGACGGACGGACGGACGATCATGCGATTCTACAAGCTGCATCTGACTATGTCAGATGAGCTAAAAAAGCCTACCTACCTACCCAAACTTTTCAACCTGGGTCGGGTGAGGGCAAACAAAAACTTTTTTAATTGTGCCCTAAACAGGTCATCAGGAGGAGAGCAGTGGAGAACACTGCACCTGACCCTGCAGCATGTCTATAGTCTGCTTGTTAGTGATAATAACGATAGCTAATCACGATCATAACAATAGAACACCTTATAGCTTCTAGACATGCCGCACGAAAGGAAATCATTAAAAGTCTTACGATGACTGTCTGAATACATATATTGTAAAGCATGGTTACATGTGGTGAACAGAATTGTATACATGTATGCATTACATATAATGATAATTTTATTATGACTATGTAATTCTCTTTCTCATTCACACACACAGTGACACATATTCACGCGGTTTCTGCTACATTTTGCATTCATTCAACTCCATGTACCTGTTTGTAGTAGAGAGAGTCGGAATCGTAAAGGCTGCTTGGCATGAACTCTGTTCCATTCTTTGTGAGATCTAGAAACAATAAATGAGCAGAAAATGCTTCAAATTCGAACTGAAGTGTGACAGTTACATGGCTGAGGGGATGGGTGTTGACTCATATAGAAATAACAAGTCAGCTGGAATGCCGCTCACCAGATATCCCTCCTTGATTTTAAGTAGGTATACTGAGAATAAACCATGATATAATGCCATAGCTAGACAGGCATTTCAGGGATTGGACAGTAGGTTGCAAAACATCCCTAACCTAATTGTTACCACACGTACATGCTGTATAGTTATAGGGGCACAAGTTACATAATTAAAACCTTTAGTATTGGTCTGTATCACCTTGCTGAGTCGATCAAATGACGTCATACAGGAAATCAATAAAAGACTGCTTTGGGCTAGCTAAACAAATGATGTTTTAAATGTCAATATCGACACATGCGACGTGAATATTGCTAACCTGGAAATTCGCGATTCAATACGAGGACGTCCAAGAAGAAGTTTGTCGCCTGGTAAAGGAACTCCATCCCCTTTGGATTGAACGTCGGCTTGGACTTGTAGACGGACGTTAGGTTCGGCTGCGGCGCGCTCTCGCTGTCCGGCTGCTGTGTCGTCGTGGCAACCCCGGCGTCGGGCTCCACCTTCCCGACAACACAGCCGAGCAGCACCACATACAGTAATGTCAACCCCATCGGCACACATCTGATGAGAAATGCCATGACAGGACCGCTCGTTTTGGCAGCAAAGCACAGGCCTGCTCCTGACACCCAGTTCTAAGCTTAGTGAGATTCCACTTGGGGTTTCGTCGGCATCGCACTGAGCATGACTTTTTGGCACATCGGTTATCCAGGAAATCACACGCAGCTAATCAAAGCCTGAGCTGAAATTGGAGAAAGCATTGTGCATGCATTACAGGAAGGAGAATGATTCATGCTTGATGTACAGCATAATGCAAAGCTTGCAGGTAGAGTTTTTGCCATTGAATTTTGGCAGAGTTATCATTAATACACATGCAGGTATCATGGTGAAACAATTAGCACAAAGTTATGTTCACTGAATGATCTCACCATGATGCCAAGTTACTAGTTAGACAGGATTATGCCAGGAAAATACTTTTACTATTTAAACATCATGTGTAATTGATAGGTTCCTGTTGATACAGCGTACCCATTTGGATAACGCCTATTTAATTCCACACTCATCACTCCAACAGCCATGTTTTTATTTGCTGCGGCCAGACGCTAGTATAACTAATTTCACATCTGAATCCCTGAATCAATCAGTCCTTAGGAATTTTCACGTGCATGGAACAGCCAGCAATTTCACATGAAACTGCAACCACTGTCTTGCAAACTGGTAGATTTCCATACAAAGCGAATCCCAATGTCACATTATTTCTATATATAGTACAATTATCAAACGAATGACCTTACATTAACCCCCACATCTGATCAAACTAAATTAAATTCTCCTGTGCCTATATAGGAAGCATACAACTACTGCCAAACATGCTTTAGCAGTAAACATTTACAGTTCCGGTACCTGCATATGAAGGCAACATTTGACACTTTCCTTCAGTGGCAATTACACATTGAACCCACATCTATAGCCCACACGTATCTATAAGATGCTTTAGGGATTTCCTTAATTAGAAATTACACAGTGAAACCACAGGCACTTGGGACAGTCAGTAAAAACGGAAAATAATATGAATGCTCATTCACAAATACTAACCCTCAATTACACTTCCACTGTTTTGTCCCCGTATATCAACTTTCTTTCACATAAACTAATGCATAACGCTCCCGCACTCGCCGCTGCGAGTGTGCTGTGTCGCCATTATAATGTTATATAATGATGGTCAAGTAGTCCACCTGACTAGTTGTTACTGCGATTTCCTCATCAGTGAATAAACCTCGTAGTTTTTGACTAATGGGCTACCGTTAATTTCAAACCCTGGGCTGACTTTGCTGGACCTCATTTCATAAATCATGGTCACTGCCTCCTATCTCTCCCTAACTATAGCCACATAATCCTAAGTCTTAACCGTAATCTAACCCTAATATTTACCTAATCTGCCTACTAATCGCAAGCCCAAATCCAGGGTATTGAAATATGGTTTAACCATGATAGTCTGCCACTGTCACTTCTCAAAATTATTAGACATTCTACTACAAGAAGGGCCATACATAACTAGTTATAACTTATAGTTATATGAATGAAATTTTCCAGTTACCTACCCTGTCAAAAAGCACAAAATTATTGAAGACCCACTATTAAAAAAGGCAGTGGCTACGGGTACGGTAGCCGTATCTTAATGTCTCGAGGCTACGGGTACGGGAGTCCCCAAAGACCAATTTGAAGACCATCTAATTAAACAGGCAGTGCTACGGTCAGGTAGCGTATCTTATGCTCTTCGAGGTCGGGTACGGAGCTCCATTCGCTTTCTACTTAACGGTCATAGATGGCGCGGTGCGCTCCAGATTTCGAAATACGCTTGGGAAATAAATTTCCGCATTTGAGAGTTAGATGAGCTAGAACCTAACCCTACACGCACTACCCTAACCCTAACTCTAAACACCTAACCCTAATCCTACCCTAAACCTGAACGCAAAAGGGCTTTCAACGACCGACTGCTACTCGTACTCTAGCACTGCGATTAAAAAAGCTGCTCAATCACTAATGAGCGTTCAGTCACACGGTGCAAATTTCCTTAGGCATTAGTATCACGAATGATGCACAGATTTGCTGTGTATCATCACGTGATCACAGACTTTCCGTATTCAAGGACTGATGCCAAAAACCTAACCTTACCCTAACGCTCAACCTTAACACTACTTTGATACCATACTTCTAAGCTGCTAAGCTGGTTATACTGTATGACTTAGGTACGGATTTTGATCTTCCTTGATATACCGGAAAGTTGTGGCATCAGTTGCATGAATACACAGAAATCTGTGAATACTTCGTGATACCTATAAGGTGCTAAAGGGCATTTGCCGCCAGTCACACTGAGTGTAATACTC